ACGTCCTCTACATATTAATGTTGTTGTCCATGTTATGCAATCTTTAATACATTTATTTTTGGTAGTCAATTGAACGCTGCTATTAAATTCGATACCAAGTTATTCAAATTTTACTCACTCTGTTATTAGGGTCAGGGCTGCCGAGAGGGGGGGGCAGCTATTCCTAAGAAATGCATACTACTTAACGAGCTAAAATTTTCACTTACATTTCTTTCATGAAAAATCAACAAAAGTTAATAAATAGAATGAAAGGGAGGCCCGATGATATTACTGACCCGGGGGTGGCTCTCGACGCCCCTGGTTACGGTGGTGTAATGTATTATCAGTGTAGTAAGAAGATATATTATTTACCTTTAAAGGTAAAACGATCCAAACTGTTTCACGCGTTACTACTTTTATTATTAAATCTGCATGTTTTTTTTGTTTTGTTTTTTACTACAACGCCAACCCGTGGCCAAAAGATTTAATAATAATTAAGTTAACGTTATTAGTGTATTTCACGATCAATCTTTATTTATTTTTTAACCCTTAATCAGAAGAGGGTTCAAAGATCACCTGGGGTAGGAGCTAAAGTGTATGGTACTTTTATAGGAATCGGGTGATACGACCCTCAGAAATCGAGTCATTTGTAGACTTAAAATAGAGCAATCCCCAATGTATACATGGTAATCCTATATTTATCGCTGTTTTGGTATGAGAAATATAACATAACTGGATTCATAAGATAGTAATGGTTTACAGCAGTCTTGCATGTGGAAAACTGGATTGCTTTAAGAATATGTTTGTAAAGCTTGAAGAACCATATTATTCCCATACATTTGAAAGGAATAATTATGTATTTCCAATTAGCCATAACAGACGAAAAGAAAAATCTGAAGTTTATAAGTACATTACGATATTTGACAAGTTATATTTTAACCAGGATGAAGAGAAAACTAATGGAAATATGTTTTCAAATGTTACACGATTTTGACTAAACAGGTTGTTTTTTGGAAATTCTTAGTTTACGATTTCAGTGAGAAAAAAAAAAAAAAAACTACCACGAAAGAGACAATGTCAATCAGATTTCGATATTTTAAAAAAAGTACAGATTGCACATATACTATAAATTTTTTCTACTGATGATAAAACGAAATTGTACGCTTTGACAAATTTGTATGAAATACTTTATTTCTTGTTTTAAATACAAAACTGTCACTGGTGAAATTTTAAAAATAACCAATAAACACGTCATTAATGACGAAAGGTTTCATTTCTCGCAGTATTTGGAAAATCAGTTTTTATGAAAGACAAAAAAAAGCAAAGTTTAATTCTTGGCACTTGCTGAGTGAAAACAAAACTTCCTTACCACGTGGAATTATTTACACCAAACATCAAATTTTTTTTTATTAAAATAAAATACCAAATGAAACCAGCAACAGTATTATACAAAGTATCAAAGGTATTACATATATAACTATATACATAGAACTGGGTTACCCCCTGGTTTCACACCTTTACTGTTTATGAGAGGTTCGTAATTTTAACCAACTGATGTTCTATATCTGTTTCAGAAGACCACTCGTATGAGAGTGCCTCTATCTGTT